TTACAGAAGCGTGTGGATTGGATCCACTTCAAGGGTTTGCCACCCCACCTCCAACCCTGCCATTGGTGCTTCCTGACATGGTTCTAGTTTATCACTAGTTGACCCCTCTCTTCGTGACAGCCTCTTTGACCTTCCCATTCTTCTCAAGCCCAGTCCCTTCTTAGTGCAGGGCTTACCACAACGGCAGACTTTATCTTACTCCGCAGGCTCAGCAACTCATCCTAGCATAGCCTTCCTCTAGAGCTGCTGACCTCCCTGGCCCGCCTTTTGCCTCCTATCTCCTTCGCCTTCCTTAGAATTAAAAATACTCTCTGCCTCCACTTTGTCAGTCCAAACTCACCTACAATTAAGCTTCATGCTCCGTCAACACTGTTAAGGAGCCCTGGTGGTCCGCGGGCTAAGTGTCTGACACATTGGTGGTTCAAACCTCGTGGGGGTTCAGACCTCGTGGGTGGCCCTCATAAGGCTCATAACCTAGAAAACCCTCTTCAGCGGTTCTGTCGGTCACATCGGGTCAATCAGTTAAAAATCTGCTTGATGACATACAACACTTCCAAGGTCACTAAACCTTCCTAGTAACCAAATCAAACCCTTGCTAAGTTCTCACCATTCTGCACCCTCGTTGTTCACGCTGTCGGGGGAACCCCTTCACCTCCCTTGACTACAGGTTTATTTCCTACTCTTTTTTCGGGGGGCGGGGGGGAGGGTTGGGGGTTGCTGTTCTGCTGTTATATTTATTCTTTTTAAAAAATTGATTATTACCTGACGGTTAATACATAAAGCATATCATTCTATAGTTCAATCACGTTGAGCAAAATTGTGCAATGGCTACCCCAATCAGTTTCCAAACATTCTTTTCCTTCCTGGACTCCTTGGCATCGTCTCCCTGTTACACCCCCCTTCCCCGCCCCCCGCCCCCCATCATTGGAACCACACACACAGCCTGAAACCCTTATTCTACTTGCTGTCCCTCTGGATTCATCAATCTGGGTTTCATATACTGAAAAACAGGAAAACATATATCCCCCAATGACATAACACCTCCGAGATGGCAGGGACGTTCCTGGCAGCCAGCAGAGACCCTCACAGCTGCAGCTGCCAGCTGGGCTGCAAGTCATGACAGGGCACATGCCATTTGACCACCCCTGCCATTTGTAATGAGGCGAAGCTTGAGAGGCAGATTAGGTCCAGCATGCATCAGAGGGGGGAATCAACTGACAAAGTTTTGGCTGTTCAAGTCAGTTTTCTCCCTTTGATCGTCTATACTCATCCCTCTAATACAGTTTAGTAACCACTTTCCTCCCAACCACTGATCTCCCATAGAGAGAGATCGCAGGGAGCTTTCCTCTGTAGTTCCCACAAATGTATCCTGGGCTCCCACTATCATCCATAGCCTTCTGCAAACTGGGTTCTCACAATTTAGACTCGGATCCTAATCCCTCCTTCGACTTTGGACTATCTGATTTACAACCTTCTGGTGACTGATGGTGTGCTTCTTTTCTTGTTAGCTTCAAGGAGCCCTGGTGGCATAGCGGGCTATGTTACACATTGGGCTGCTAATCACAAGGTCAGCATTTTGAACCCACAGATTCACAGCTTGTTGACCTCATTTGGAGATGCTACGGAGATAAATGACTCACTGTTGGCAAGACACAAAAGACTCTACTTTGTCTTCCTGCTGACAAGACCCATGGAGCTACATTGATGGAGTCAGAGCCCTGGAGCTGGAGGAACCATGTGGAGACCCCTGCCAGTACTGAGATACTTCCACTGCCACTGAATTCACAAGACTTTGCACCCACTGGCCTGTAATTTTCCTGCACTCAGCATCATTATATGGTTGCATGAATCTGAAGAGGAATAGACTGGTATTGGACGTATGGGCTAATATTGGACTTATGGTCTTGGTCTGGAGTGGGCTATTTTCTCAATAAAACTTGTATAAATTTCTCTTATACACATGTAAGTCTCCCTAGATTTGTTTCTCTAGTCTACTCGGACTAACACACAGCCTCTAAAACCCACAGGGGCAATCCTACCTTGTCCATGGAGTTGTTATTAGCTGGGAATTGACTTGATGTCAGAAAGTTTGGAAGTTCTTTTTTAAAAAAAAAAAGTATTAAAATATCTTTTAAAAACTTATTCTTGGACTTTAAATGTGCCATCAAACACTTTGGACATAAAACAACCATAATTGTGTTTTTTGGCAAAATGAAGATATAAAATCCTATGCATGATTATTGGGTTGTAGGCTTTTTTTCCCTAATCATCTTATTGGGGGCTTGTATAGCTCTTATCACAATTCATCCATCCATCCATCATGTCAAGCATATTTGTACATGTTATTACCATCATCATTTTCAAAATATTTTCTACATGAGCCCTTGGTATCAGCTCATTTTCGCCTTTCCCCTACCCTCCCTCATGAACTCTTGATAATTTTTACTTTTTTTTCTTCCATATCTTACACTGACCTCTGTGTCCCTTCACCCATTTTTCTTTTATCCGTCCCCTGGGAGGGGGTTATATGGAAGTTAATTTATTAGTGTCTGATGTGAATGCTTCACTAGTTTCCTCTCCTGGACTCTGGCCTGTTTGACCAGTGATCAAACATTTTTCACAACAAAACTGCTAGGGAAAAGCCCACTCCTTCGTGTGGCACACCAAGATCCTAAATGACTTGACCCCTTCCTTTCTCTCCATTCTACCTCGTTTCTCAATTGGTCTGTACTCCACCTATACTGAATTATTGGCTGGTCCCTAATGTGCTGGGTTCTCCCATCCTTGCCTTTATGGATTTGGCTGCTTCTGCTGACAGACAGTTCCTCCTATTGGTCCCTTGCTTACAGTTTCTAGTTAGGACATCAGGCTTGCATAGGCACCCTCCGTTCCAAGAAGTCTTCTCTTACTCTTCAGCATGGGGGTGTGCATGTCTTTTGTGTGCTTTCCCCGTTTGGTTGCCTGCCTTTTCCACTTGAGTGAAGGGTCCAAGATTTATTCACTTTGCTCACCTACCACAGTGATTGCCACAGGATGGGTACCCAGTAACTGCTTAACAAAGGAAAGATTCAACCATCATCTCTGTATTGATATGACAATACTAATGGTTAGAACTGAATTCCCTAAAGCACGCTGAGTATTTCTATGTATTTACTGTCACCGGCCTGTGTGGACCCTGTCTCATGACGACAGTGTGAACCAGTTTCACTGGCTGGTTTTTCCAGTGAACAGACCATCCTTCCTAGTCCATCTTAGTCTGGAAGCTCCACTTAATTGTGTTTACCATCATGGCAACACATACATACTCCGTTGACGGACAGGCGGTGGTGGGCGGATGCACTTGAAGAGCACTGGTCTATAACAGTGGTTCTCAACCTGTGTGGGTCATGACCCTTTTGGAGGTTGAACGACCCTTTCACAGGGTCACCTGATTCATAACAGTAGCAAAATTACAGTGATGTAGTAATGAAAATTAATTTTATGGTTGGGGGGTCACCACTACATGAGGAACTGTATTAAAGGGTTGCATTAGGAAGGCTGAGAACCACTGGTCTAGCACCTTGGTCCCCTGAATGGAAAGCAAGGATTCAACCACTGAGCCACCACTGCCTCCTGGTTCTATGCTATGGTTGTGTACCATCCGGTCAATTCCAACTCCTCTACAAGATAGTGGAACTTCCCTATAGGGCATCCTAGGCTGCAACCTTAATTTGTGAGACAACTGCTGAGATATAACTGCGACCTTTCACCTAAAAGCCCACTGAGTGTGGATGTCATGACCAACTAAGTCAAGGGTAGACTAATTGACTTAGCAGTGGTTAATACAGGGGTTTTCGGGGTTTTGTTTTTATCTCATACCTAGTAGTGGGATGCAGTCAGTACCCACTGGTTCAGCAGAATGGATACCGATACTTTTGTGTTGTTTAATGAACTGGTGGGCACCCAATATGGAAATCACAAAGTTATATTCCTTACTCTTTAACGTTCATCTGACCAACAGCATATTCTAAGGACCCACCATCCAGACATATAAAAAATTAGACTATGCTTGTACTATTTAGTCATTTAATAAAACTCGTTATATTTTTGATGAAATACTACATTTTTAACAAACATATAACAGTAGGAAACAAAGAGTGCCAAAAAACCAGAGGGTGACACGCTGTCATTTCGTTCAGCTGTTACGCACCAAGTTCAGAGAGCCAAAAATATCGTCAAAGCAATTGCTGTAGCTTCAGCAGAAGCAGAAAGGGGTTTCTCCAACAGGAACATTGTAGGTTCAGAGAGGTCAACGGTTTCTAATATAGCAAGCACAATGACTATTGTCTAACTGGCCTACCTCTATAGGAATGGGATCTACTCCTACAGTGAAAAGATGGTGAAGACACAGCCCTGATGCTCACATAAAAGAGAAGAAGCTTGCAAGTGAGGATGCCAATCGAGAAGCAATATGAAATCTCTTCAATAACAGTTTTGTTGATGTTTTTGGTCAGGTATTGAATGTTTTTTCACGAATATTTTAAAACTTTTATAGCAATCTACTTTTGTGTATCTCTTACTGTTCTTATTTAAGTATTAACTGTATGAAATAAGAAGTGGCCTTTTGATATATCTTTTTCTATACTTAAAATGGTCATTAGGGCATCGAACTGGTTAAATTATTTGAATCCCACCCCTGCTCATAAATACTCAATTTTCTTTCATGAACATGGGATTATTTTGCGCAAAAGGACAAAGTTTCTCACTTTTATTAAGCTAACGACCTAATCTATTGACCTCTCAATGTACTGTACACACATACTACTGGAATTAATAGAATTCAAAAGGAACTGCCATTATAATTAATATCCTCTGACAATATAGTATGTATTAATTTAGTGTGCTGTATTCGTGGCAGCAAAGAATATTGGGGGGGAAAACTCTCAAAAGAGTAACAAATCTTACTGATGCTAAAATCTAGTAGTATGTCAAGAAAGGAAACACCAGAGTTTTAATCAAAGTATGCAATAAGGTCTGGTTTATTTAAATTTTCCAGTAGAGAAAACCCATGAGTTTTGGAATAAAAATTCTCAGTGTTCGAGAGCGTAAGTGAATATAAAAGATTAGCAGAAGAAAAAGAAAACCAAACATAGTACAAAAAAATGTTCCAGTCTAATGGATTTACACAGGGATGGTCTTTAAAATCTTGCAAAGATTTAAGAATAACTAGGTTTGGCAAATAATTCCCTTGAAAATTCATATAAACTAAACCCCATAAAATGGCTTATTAAATTTAAACATTCCAGATAATGGGTATCGAAAGAGATAGGAAATCCATGTCGGAATAGCACAGGAATCACTCATTTGATCTCAGTTATATGAACTAAGCAGCTGCGTAACTGCTTTTGAGGAGATGAACTAGAAGACAACGGGGGGAAATTAAAAGGCACGATAGAAACTCCAATAAACAAACAGCAAAATTCAGGCATCAGCTTGTTTCTTTAAAGCAACCAACTGAAATTTACAGTATATTCTACATTTTCAGTTGCCGCCTTCCCTCTCCCGCCCAACCCCCACATATACTCCTAGGTCCTCTACTCTAACCAACTCTTAACTCCCAAATACTCTGTACACACATATTTAGCAAAGAGCATATGCCTAACATTATTTTGACAGCAGTATGATCAGCATACAATTTTAGAACGTTTACTACATAGATCATCAAGATTAACCTTTGTTTACAAAAAAATCAACAAATTAACAAATAATCAAAAACCAATACTAAACAAATGCTTTAAAAATATTATGAAAGCCCATGGCAAAAAAGACTCAACATGGGCTCCACACCTGATAAAAACCCACTTCAGAAAGACACACTACTCTATGAATACTAACCTCTGCCAAATGATGGCCTCACCGTGTCAAACACAAAAGAATCTCGTAGGGTAGTTTTCCGATAGAGGGATTTGTCTCCGGCTTAGCCATCTTTCTAAACTATACACAAAGTCCTGCTACAAGCCGGTATTTTAGTTTATTTTACAATAGAATGTTATAATGGAAACTAAACAGGTTCTTGAGATCAACAGTATGTTACCAAGGGTTTTTTCTGTTTTTTTTTATTTTATTTTATTTAATCTCTTGAATTTTGGAATCCAACAGTTGGTCGTGAGGTCAAGTACTATCGAGGTTCCTTCGATAGTTCTTAATCATGTCTGACTCATCCATCCTTCAAGTACATGCAAGGCTCAAAAGTCTTCAAGAGGCAGAAGCCTGGGGCCATTTAAGACACAGAAGAGATGGGATTATGAGGCGAGCCCATCTGAGTAAGAACTTTATCCAGCCACTGTAGGGGGCCGTGGAGGTGTATCTCGATCCAGCAGGGGGTGCTAGTGACATCCTGGCGGTGGTATTCTGCTCCCCAGCCCTAGAAGGAACACAGTGAAGGTCACTTAACAGGTTTACCTTAGTGGTTAACCTGAAGTAAAAATAATTCACAAGTGAGGCTGATTAAAGTTATGCTCCCATTACTCAAAGAAAACTTGCAGGTGTGTGCTCATGCACACATGCACACACATGCACAATTTAGTGGGCACATTTAAGAGGTGTTCATCTAAGTCTTACCATGGATTCTAGACTACAAACACCTGGATGTTGGGCAAACAAAGTTTTAAAATACATTATAAGGTAGTTTTAATAAAGAAACTTTGAACTTTCATTTTCACTGTTCATGCTATTAAATATGATAGTGACTATTCCACTGAATTGATAACATCTTTATTTCGTAACCCAAAGGTGTGCAAATCATATATTTTACCTTTCTGAGTCTGGATGTTATAAGATAATTCGCTGTGATGTTATTTATTTTTCTCAAAAGGTTATTACTAAGTTCTCATTTTATCATTGAGAAAATAAGGAAAATATTCGGTTAGACAAACTATTATTCGGTTCCTTCCCTATTCAGCAAAGGAAGGTCCTAGGAACACACAGTTCTTGATCTACAAATCTCTAAGCAAAATTGGCAGCACATTAAATATCCAAAAAGCTACTATGGATCTATAACCATTGCCTAGAATCAGTGGATCGCATAATTCATTTACTCAAAGGGGTATTTTGCCAGGCATCTTTAGAATACTGAAGCAGGGCATGAACGTTCCATAGAAGAAAGTCATTATGAACCAGAGAGAAGCGATTTTGTTATTGCAAATGGTCAAAAACTCCCTGCCATGGAGGACAATGGAATTTGAAGCTCACAAACCTTTCTTTGGGGAGGCATATCATAAAAGATTGGGTTTCACATATTTCCGATACCTACCTACTCTAATGCACAGGTATTCGACTACGTGGATCATAGCAAACGATGGCTAGCCTTAAGAAGAATGGGAGTTCCAGAGCACTTCATTGTGCTCATGCGGAACTGCTACATTGATCAAGAGGGAGTTGTGCTAACAGAACAAGGGAATGAATGCTCCATGGTTTAAAATCAGGAAAGGTGTGCATCAGGGGTGGAAGGGAGGAAGACTTATTAAAAACCTAAAATATGTATTTGACTGAATCTTGCTTGCTGAAAGGAAGATGGCTTGAAGCATTTGCTGATGAAGATCAAGGATTGCAGCCTTCAATATGGATTATAAGTCAATGTGAAGAAAACAAAAATCCTCACAACTGGACCAATCGGCACCACCATGATAAATGGAGAGAAGACTGAAGCTGTCAATGATTTCATCTTGCATGAATCCACAATCAATGCTCCTGGAAGTAGCAGTCAAGAGAGTGATCAGCCACAATGCATTAGGTAAATCTGCGGCACAACACAGCACCTCTTTTAATAGTGTTGTTTTAATAGTGTTCAGTGTTGAAAAGCATGGATGTTACTGTGAGGACCAACATATGCCTAACCCAAGTCATGATATTTTCAACTGCCTTATATGCATGTGAAAGTTGGACATTAAATAATTAAGCTAAATAAGGAAGACTGAAGGAAATCAATTCATTTGAACTATTGTATTGAAGTCCAAATATTATGGACTGTCAAAAGAGCCAAAGAGATCTGTCTTGGAAGAAGTCAGTCACAATGCTCCCTGGAGACAAATACGGTGACACTTTGTCTCATGTACTGTGGTTATGTTACCCGTAGAGACCAATCCAGGGAGAAGGACACCGTGCTTGGTAAAGTGGTGGGGCAGCAAAAAAGAAAAAAAAGAGAGAAGACATTCAATGGGATGAACTCACACAGCGACTGCAACAGTGAGCTCATGTACATAACACAAGTGTGAGGAAGGCCCAGGACTGGAAGGGGTTTCGTTTTGTTGTGCATAAGGTTGTGACAGTCAGAACCAACTCGATGGTGCCCAGCACTACCACCACTTGACAGCCTCATGAAATATTCTAAATGTCAGAACTTCCAGGGAAAAACCTCAATAGAGGAACAATGTATGTATGTGTGTGTACACACACACACACACACACACACTTTATACATATATCAGAAGGCTGATTTAATTGAAAGGCTTCTTTATGTCCATTTTCCTCTGCTAGATAGTCAATTCTCTGGGGGCAGTGATCAGATCTATTTATCTGTGAGCTCCAGTGGTTATACGTTGGGCTACTATGCACAAGGTTAGCAGTTTGAAACCGCCAGCCACTCCTCGAGAGATAGATGAGGCTTTCTACTCCCGTAGAGTTATAACCTTGGAAACCCCACAGGGGCAGTTCTACCTTGTTCTCATAGGGTCACTATGAGTTGGCATCTACTCAATGGCAGTGACCCTCAGGACAATGGTTGGCACCAAGCAAGAACTCTAAAATACTTGTTCAGATACACTGATTTGGATTTCTCAGATATGTGAGAACCAATTGTCAGGTGCAAATAAAAATCGTTAGTCCAAAACTATCTCCTTAACAGAGCCGGATTGGATCCCCACTCACTCACTGCCATGGAGTTGATGTTTCAAGCAAGTCATTGCCTTTATTTAAACATTCATTTTAGCCAAATATTTAGTCAAATATTACATTTTAACATTTGAATAAAGAATGAAAAGGGTCTGTAAAGTCTATTAAGGACACAGTGTGCAAGTTAAGCTCTTCAAAGGGCTGCCTTTAATACTGAACGATCACAGTGACCCTGTAGGAAGGGCAAGGGCAGTGCTGCTCCCAGGCTTTCTGCGACTACCCATCTTTACAAGAGCAAACCGTCTCATCTTTCTCCGGCAAAGACTGGTGGGTTTGAACCGCTGACCTTGAAGGTAGTAGCGCGGCAATTAATCTTTGATGCCACCAGGACCCCTTATTAATCCAAGGAACATGGAGTAAGTCATCTTCAGGAAAGGATACCTTTAAGGATGGTGAGCAAAGTGAGGTTCCAAAATTACCCTGAGTAATACACACATGATAAAACAGGTTTAAAAACAAGTTAGGTGAGCTTCTAGAGAGAACATAAAAGCCGACTGTCTCACCTAAACATATAATTAAATGTCTCTCAAAGTAACAGAGAATGAATATCTTATTTTTGAGAATTCAGAGAGTAAGTAACTGATTCATCCTATCTATTCAGATATTTAAACATTTATTTTATATTCCAGTGGCATGTAAAATATTTTATTTCTTAGAAGCAGAAGATGAGGCAGCACAAAGATTAATTATTATGATCCATATCTTTAACCTTTTCCTTCTTCAAATAGTACCATACAATCTTTGGGCAAGTGCTTTATTAACTTTTTGACTTTAATAAAATCATGAGGTTTACAGGAACAGCTTAAAAGAAGCTGACCAATCAAAAACAATTTCCTGGATGATGGGCTTGTATTTTTACATAAAGGCCACTTGCTTATTCTTGAAACAAAAACAACCAGAAACGAGAAGTGTGTCTCTGAACTGATCTCAGGAGACAAGCGTGTGTTTAAATGATAAATGTTAAGTACATAACATATTTCAGTATTTGCCCAATAGCTAAGATCGTACTAACAAAATAAGAAAAGACTACGGAAGTCTGCTACTCCCGATAGTTACCGATAGTTTCCTTATAATTGCCATCATTGTTATGAGTTTAAAAATACTTCTGTGGACATAGTAAGAGGAGATATGCTTAAATATTGAGATGGAGCTCACGTATGCCAAACCCCGACTGGAAGACTCAGTGCTCCCTCACCTTCACAAAGCTCATGCGGATAGTACACATTTTGGTGAGCTCGTAGACGGTCTCGAAACCATGGTTCACGGACTGTGCCAGTAACTGAGCGAATTCTTGGTTGTTGAAAATTTTCAGACTACACCCACTAGGGATCTTGCACACGGTAGTGGGATGGAATCCATGGTGGTAGTTGCAGTTCCGACTTTGCACAAAGATGCTACTGTCACTGAGGCACTCGGCATACACCTCTCCACCAACGTAATACAGATGGACGCCTGCGGGAAGAGAAGCAGAGCCGGCCAGTCAGTGCGATTTACAGATGAAAGGCACCTGCGCATTTCAGCGCAGAAATGCACCTTCACACGGATTTCAACTTTTGTAGTTAGGTAAAGAGATACTCTCTACATCCTGCACAACTTAAAAACCTCAACTGCACTTGGGTTAGCTCATAGGATGTCTGCACACCAGTGTGCATGCTTAGCAGGTCTCCAGGAAATCACTGAACAAAAGCCCCTTAATAACGAATAACAAAGTCCAGCAGTTTCATTCTGATGAGAGGTTAATGCTCTCTTTTGCCAGGAACTGAAATTACTCCCATTTCATAAAGGGGAGGAGGAAAAAAAGAGGCACAGTCCAACCAGGGACATTATTACGGACTCTGTATGGATTCGTCACTCAAGCTCTGTTACGGAGTTTGAGAAAGCTGAGGTAGAGGGAGAGTGGGAGGATGGAGAGAAGTGGACACACTAGAAAGCCACAGGTGGAGGAAGGACTGCTGAGAGCTGTAAGAAATCAAGTCTGGTTTAAAAAAAGAAACCGGGAAAATAATTCGTAGTGTGAAATCTGATCTCACTGAACTACCACCTGCTCCAAACTTCTTCCTGTGAGATCTAGAATACTAGAAGTGTAGGAAATTGATCTGATCCAGCCTTTAAAAACAGGAAAGAAGGGGGGAACAACAAGAACAACAACCGACTCAACATCTTCACAAAGCCCACATCAGTTAGGGGATTATGTTACAGAGGCCATCCAGTACAGAGTCACGTCCCTTGCGGCTTTAAATGACCCACCGTACAAGTAAAAGTCATTCTAGTATGGTTCAGTCAATTCTGAAACGACTGTCTTTATACAAAACGCTATGGGCTAGATTTATATGTATGCAGGGTGGCGAAGATTTCAGTGACACTAACTAGCAAGCACAAGACCATTTTTCTGTCTGGTGGAGAGAAACCATCCCTTCCCTCCATTATAAAAAAATGACGAATGTTCACGTTTAAAAATCTAAGCAAGTAAAACAAAAACATATTCTCACTTCTTGGACAACCTAGAGGTAATAATTGTTCATAGTTTGACACCCTGTATTCAGTCTTACATATCATTAAAATTTCCTTGCACACATTAAACTGTCTGCATGGCTATACCAAAGTATTGATTTATTTAAGGATTCTCCCACTACTGGGCCATTTCTGCTATTATGCCCACGCCGAGGGAAAGTCTTTGGACAAATTCTGATAGTACCCTGAGGAGATATTCCTGCAAATTCAATGACTGGATGGAAGGCTCTTGATACGCTTTTCACCAAACGGCTTTGCAGAAAGCGTGAGCCAGTTTCCACCCTCAGCAACAGCGTAGGACTCAGTGCCCTTCTCATGTCACTTGTGACAGGGCTGATTATGAACAAAAACAAAAGCTTCTAATTTATAGGTAACAAAACAGTATCATGGTTTGGACTTTTCGTTTACATGGTTACTCATGAGCCTACATATGATCGTATGTAAATCAGTCAGCTGTATTTCTCTTGTAAATCTGCTGTTCCGGAGTTCTCTCCCACTTATCCCACTAAAACCAAACCAGTTGCTGCCAGGTTGCTTCTGATTCACGACAACCTCTACATCTGAGGTGACTGAAAACACCATGGCCTGGGACATGGTGGACTGTAGTCTGCAAAGTGCCATCTTGGCTCTTGAAGACTTTAAAAGAGGCTTTGTGCAGCAGATCTGCCCGGTGCAATGCGCCGTATGATTTGACTGCTGCTTCCGTGAGCACGGATTGTGAGTTCATGGAAAATGAATAATCAGATCAGCTAAAAAAGAGTTCAAGAGAGTTGTTTGTAAACCCAAACTCCTCCCACCACTTCTGGCCCCATTCAACTTACAGTCAAAGACTACGTTCTGAAGTGCTTTTGGATTGATTCTTGTTTTTCTTTACACTGAGTTATGACCCTCACTTGAAATAGAATTTGGTGTCTGTGTTGTAGCTTTCTCTCGAGTGTTGTAGAACATTCTTTAACAGGTATTTTAGTATAGCACAAAAGACATACTAGTAGCCTAGCCCCCTCCGTAAAAGCAGATCACTATTTCAGCAAGCTTCTCTCAGTATTATGAGAGCTGGTAGAAAAACCACACAAATCACTAACTGGAACATGAAGAACTTCCTGATCATAAAACTGGAAAAAAATATTTATAAACTGTAGCAAGAGAACATAGGAATAATGAAGTCTAGTCACATGGGGAAAGGATTCAGCAAATCAAGTTCAAAGCGCTCCAAGGGAAGGCTCACCTTTTCCAATGTGCCGCCTCGTGTTTTCAATAGTGGAATTCCGGTTAACATTGGACAGCAGCCCAAGACAGAAACGGTTCTTGTTGTTGGAAGGATCAGTGAACCCGTCCACCAGCACGCTTGTGGAGGAGGCATGGAACGCTTCACCCACACGATTGTTGAGCTCATAGTAGACAATGGAGCACCAGTGCTTGGGTTCCTCATAAGCAACTGCCTGAACATCTGTTAAGAAAGAAAGTGGGGGGAAAGCTCAATCTGCTGAAAAGCTGGCTCAGGATCATGGATGTCATGAAGATATGACAAAGTCAATTGCTAATGTAATGTATACATTTTACATATGATGTCTGAAGCAGGTGCTCATTAACTAAGTATGGCATTCCCCTGTAATTGGAAGTTATTCTGATTACTGTTAGATAACTACAGCGTCAGCTGAGCCAACCAGCTAACAGTATTTGCTGAATACTAAGTGTTATGCTACTTGCTAAGTAACAGGCAAAATAAAAGCTGTCCTCACCACAGATCCTGACGTACTCTTTAAAGAAACACAACACTTGGCAAGTAAAAAAAGAACGGGACGAGGACTAGCGAGGATAGAAAATATTTGAAATGTGCCGGCATAAAAAGGACTGCTGTGTTGTTAAGTGCTGGCAAGTCCATTCCAACTTACACTCTCCGTACATGAAAGTGAAACAATGCTTCATTCTGTGCCACCCTCAAACTGTTGCTGTTTGAGCCGATTGTTACAGCCACTGTGCCAATTTGTCTTTCTGAGGGTCTTCCTCTGTTTTGCTGACTCTCTATCAAGCATAATGTACTACTTCTCCAGGGACTAGTCCCTGCTGATAATTTGTCCAAAGTATGAGACGGTCTCCCCATCCGCACTTGTAAATAGCTGTACTTCTTCAAACACACATTGGTTTGTCTGGCTGGTAGTCCACAGTATATTCATATTCTTCGCCAACATAATTAAAATGCATTGATTCTTTTTGGTCTTCTTACTCTTGTAGAAATTTTGCATGCATATGAGACAAATAAGAATATTATGGCTTGGGGCATGTGCACATCAGTCCTCAAGGTGACAACAGCTTGGCTGTTAACACTTTCGAGAGGTCTTTTGCAGCAGAACTGCCCAACTATGATCACGAGTTGATGCCATTTGATTTGAGTGATTTGCTTCCCCGGGCAGTGTGAATCCAAGTAAAACGAAATCTTTAACAACTTCGATCTTCTCTCTGTTTATCCGGATGTTATTTATTGGACCAGTTGTGAAGATTTTTGTTTGTTTTATATGGAGTTGTGATCCATACTGAAGGTCTCTGATCTTCATCAGTAAGTGCTTCACCCACTTTTCTGTTGTCCATTCCCCAGGGAGAAGGTCATATGTAGATCCTTGTAATCAGTTCCCCCCTTGCCAACCCACTCTCCCTCTGCCCTCCCAGCATCACCACTCTCACCACTGGTCCTGTAGGGCTCATCCGCCCTGGATTCCCTGTGTTTCCAGTTCCTATCTGTACCAGTGTACATCCTCTGGTCTAGCCTGACTTGCAAGGTAGAATTTGGGTCAGGATAGTGTGGGGTGGGGGTGGGGGGCATTTAGGAACTAGAGGAAAGTTGTATGTTTCATCGTTGCTACATCACACCCTGACTGGCTCATCTCCTCCCCGAGACCCTTCTGTAATTATCAAGGGCTCAGAGGGAGGGGGGAGCGGGTAGGGAGGGGAAAAAATGAGGAGCTGATGCCAGGGGCTTACGTGGAGAGTAGGTGCTTTGAGAATGCTGAGGGCAATGAATATACAAATGTGCTTTACGCAACTGATGTATGTATAGATTGTGATAAGAGTTGTATGAGACCCTAATAAAACGATTTAAAAAATAATAAATAAATAAACTTATTCTAAATTAAAAAAGAAAAAGGAGGAGCTGATACCAAGGGGTCAAGTAGAAAGAAAATGTTTTGAATATGATATATGTGCTCAGGATCATTCTGTATTTCTATCCAAACTCTTAAACTCAAAGCGAATGTCTTGTAATGAAAAAAAAAAAAATGTACTGAACATATATTACTAAGTTAATAATAAAAAGTCACTAACAGTTTTCTCAAGACTAAGTCAAATTATGTTGAAATAACCATCATTGGCCAATGAGTACTAACAAAGAAATATAAGATCAATTTAATTTTATCAATGTCCCTATCTTAATTAAGTATTTAACTACGATATTTTTAGAATGTTATATTTGGAGGAATCTAGGTAAAGGATAAATACAGAGAAAAAAAGTAAGTGCTTCAAGTCCTTTTGGCTTTCAGAGAGCAAGGTTGTGCATCTGATTATTGCAGACACTTAACGTGCCTTTCTCCAATCTTGATGTCGTATTCTTCTTCACATAGTCCAGCTTCTTGGATTACTTGCTTAGATACAGATTGGAAAAGTGTGGTGAATGGATACAAACAACCTTGACTCACATCCTTCCCAATTTTAAAGCATGCAGAATCATCAACCATTTCTGTACTCTAACATACACTTTGGTCTTTTCTTACTTTCCTATCTTTTTAATGACTTTTCCCTTTCTTGTGCGATGCCCTTGATGAGAACATGTCTGGTCTTGGGTCATTAGTGTCCAATGTTCCAGATATAGTCATGAGAAAATCTCTAAATTCAGGTGTGATACATTGAAGGCCATATATATATATATATAATTTTTTAAAATAATTTTATTTGGGGGCTCTTCCAACAATCCAAACATCCATTGTGTCAAACACATTTATACATATGTTGCCATCATCCTTTTCAAAACACTTTTTTTATTTGAGCCCTTGGTATCAGCTCCTCATTGTTTTCCCTCCCTCCCCTCCATCAATTATAAATTATCATTTTCATATCTAACACCATCCGCTGTCTCCCTTCACCCAGGTTTCCGTTGTCCATCACCCTGGGGGAAGAGCGTGGTTTATATGTCGATCATTGCGACGGGTTCCCCCCTTTCTCCCCCACCTTCCCCCTACCCTCAGGGTATCACTACACCCATTGTTCCTGAGGGGTTTATCTGTCCTAGATTCCATGTGTTGAGAGCTCTTATGTACTCATGTACATGCTCTGGTCTATCCAGATTTGTAGGATAGAACTGGGGTCATGATAGTGGGGGCAGAGTGAGGAGAGAAGCATTAAAGAACTAAAGGAATGTTGTATGCTTCATCGGTGCTATACACCCGCATAGGAGTACTGTTACTCCTATGAAGACTGTTACTCATGCTACACCATGCTACAAGACAAAATTTCACTGATTTGTAATTAGAAATATAAACATTTCACAATACATAATATTTCAGAGGGAAGGAGGAGCGGGGAGGGAGGGGGGAAAATGAGGAGCTGATATTAAAGGCTCAAGTAGAAAGCGAATGTTTTGAGAATGATGATGGCAACAAAAGTGCAAATGTGCTTGACATAATGGATGGATGTATGGATTGATAAGAATTGCATGAACCCCCAATAAAATGTTTAAGAAAAAAAAGTACCAATTATGAAAAAATAAAAATTTTAAAAGTATTTCACAATATATAATTACATATTGTTTTTGTGATGAATCATTATGCTTCCATTATGTTCAATTTGTAACACAGAAAATACATCCTGTCTATCCTGTCACTGAATCAATGTCGTCCTGCTATTCGTTTGGTTTTCGCTGGCCAATTACTACAGAAGTACACTGCCAGGTCTTCGTCTGCCTCACTCTGTAAGCGCTGCAGAAACCTGGCCACCACAGGTGACCCTGATAAGGGAGCTACCAGTGGCCTAACTTCTTGTAGCACAGCAACATGTAAACCACCACAGTATGGCAAAGTGACAGATTTGAGCTAAAGTATTAGTATGGTTATGCTATTTCAAAGAAATGAAAATCAGTTTCTAATTATTGATAAGAAATGTCTTTGCTTCACATCTCGTTGCCAATAACTACCACAGCTAGAGCTCTGCTCCGGTGCTGAAACTCAGGAAGAAATCCTGCCAGCAGGCCATTTTTACAGAATGAATCATATCTCTCTCATCCAGATTTCATGCTAACTTCCTTATATTTGCTCTAAGTCATGCAGAGCAGGTGTGTTTTGTCTCTCTATTCCCAGAATGGGCCAACAATGGAAATTACCCAACTTTACTGACAGGATGCAGCTTGTTAAGTCAAATCTCTTAAGACCAACAAATCTCCAAACAGAACATGCTTCTAAACATTTGCAAACTAAAAGATTTTAAAGATAAGTTCCTTCTGTACTAAAACTTCTTAGACCAGTGCTTTAGATTCCAGGAATACAACCTACTGTATACTCATTATAACAATATGTAATGTGCTGAGGTTTATAAAGTCTGAGGTGCATTATCATAAACATGTTAGAAAATGAAAGGAAATCCACATCAGAAGCATAGATTGAAACTGTAAAAGGACAATTTCCACTATGTTCTGAAATCAACTCTAAAAGTATTAAAAAGCACTTAGCTTTTAAATTTAGTAAATAAAATCAGGAAAATGACCATTTAAAAAAATACACATACTTTAGTTGTTCTATATAAACAAATGAGCTGAAAACACATACAATTTCTGTTTCCTAAACACCGCTCTCATCCCAAAGTATATTTTAAAGAACAAAATTTTGTTGGTTTATAGCTGCCCAATTTTGAAGACGCGTACAACATTAATAATCAATCATTCTTAATAAATATCAAGAGTCCTGGTGGTACTGTAAGGTAAATGTTGGACTGTTAATTTCAAAGTCCAAGGTTCAAACCCACCATTTACTCCTTGAGAGAAAAATGAGGCTGTCTGGTCCCCTAAATGCTCACAAAGCCCTGGAAACACTATGAAGCATCACTGGGAGTTGGACTCAGCATAACAGCCATGGGCTCAAATCAACTACCAGAATCGTTCAAAACACTAATCATTTAGGACAGGGCTGAAGCACCCGCGTATGTGTGAGCATGCGCGAGAAAGACCAGAATTACTTCGTGGGCCATAAGGTCTCCACTGTAATTATTCAACTCTGCTCCTGTAACAGGAAAGCAGATGTAGATAATAGATAAATAAATAAACATGCCTGTGTTCCATTAGCACGTTACTTACAGAAAAAGGCAGCAGGTTGTCTGATTAGTAGGCAGCAGTTTGCTGAATGCTATCTAGGAAAATCACCAAAGGTTTAAAACAAAAATAAGGTTCATACTATGCTCTCTTTTGTTACACTCATCCCCAAATGCAAAATCCAAAGATGTGTGAGATAGGGATTATTTTCCTGAACCAAAATCTTATTTCTTTTATTGCTGACCCACAAGTATAAGTTTGAGAGGATCTTCTAGAGATGATCAGGAACCAAAGTATAAAGCCAATTTTTTAAAAAAGATAAAAATACTGCCTTTTACTATGTAGTGATTGATCACATATTAAAGGTATGACCCTGGTATGAGCTACAGCTCATTCCCTGAAAGAGAAAATACAAAGAGAGAATTCCCCCAGGCCACACCAGTGTAGGTTGTGGAAGATATTTTACAGGTAAAAAGGTGTACAATCTATTTTACTACATTGCTAACCTAATAAAGGTTCGTTGCGTTCATGAGCAAATTTTAAGTACTGAAAACATACAACCAACTAGTCACTGCCACTGAGTCACCCCAACTCATCAAAGTCAAAGTCACTGCCCATGAGTTGTGTGTGACTGACGGTGACCCTAGAGGGCAGGGTAAAAGTGCCCCTGTGGGTTTCTAAGACTGACCTTGAGGTCAGCCATCAGGGCTCCTTTGGGTAAGAGAAAAATCCATGGAGTCAATTCTGACTCACAATGACCCATTAGGGGGGTAGGATATACCTGCCCCTGTGAGTTTCTGAGACTTTAACTCTTTATGGAGTAGAAAGACCCCCATCTTTCTCCCTTGGAGCTGGCTAGTAGTTTTGAACTGCTGACCATGCAATTGCAGCCCAATGCATAACCACGATGCCTCCAAGAGCTCCTTCCCACTTGCAGCATTCCTATATACGGTTTTACAGGCTGTAGATAGCTTCACATCTTTCTCCTGTGAATAGGTTGGTGGGTTTGAACTGCCAAAATCGTGGTTAGCAATCTAACCTGACAGTATCACCAGGGCTCCGTACAAGCAACTACAGCAAAAAAATAAAGTCTCTTTTACAAGGTAAGTGTCAAAAAGTTCATGGAAAGATGGAATGAAAAGTAATGGAATTTTTCCATGAACTTTTTTTTTCTTTTTAACCTGGCCTTTTAATTTTTTTTATTGATCATTTATTAGGGGCTCATACAACTCTTATCACAATCCATACACACATCAATTGTGTAAAACACATTTGTACATTCATTGTCCTCATCATTCTCAAAACATTTCCTCTCCACTTAAGCCCCTGGCATCAGGTCATTTTTTTCCCCTCCCTCCCCGCAAACCCTTGATAATTTATAAATTATTATTTTGTCATATCCTGCCCTGTCCAACATCTCCCTTCACTCACTTTTCTGTTGTCCGTCCCCCCAGGGAGGAGGTCACATGTAGACCCTTGTAATCGATTCCCTCTTTCCAACCCACCCTCCCTCTACGCTCCCAGTATCGCCACTCATACCACTGGTCCTGAAGGGATCATCCGCCCTGGATTCCCTGTGTTTCCAGTTCCTATCTGTACCAGTGTACATCCTCTGGTCTAGCCAGACTTGCAAGGTAGAATTCGGATCATGTAGTGGGGGGGGGTTGGGGGGGAGGAAGGGATCAGGTATCAGGCATCATCTGAACAAAAAATTATATTATACTGAAATGAGGGCGGGGAGTGTGGAGTGGAGACCCAAAGCCCATTTGTAGGCCACTGGACATCCCCATACAGAAGGGTTTTGGGGAGGAAACGAGCCAGTCAGGGTGCGATGTAGCAACGATGAAAAAATACAACTTTCCTATAATTCCTAAATGCTGCCCCCACCACCACCACCACTATCATGATCCCAATCCATGAACTTTTTGAAGCCTCTGTGTACTTTAATTAAAATATGCTAAGAATGAAATAAGATACACCTAAGAGTCTCTGGATGGCCAAAGCCATTGTTAACACTCAGTCACTGTCTGAATGGCTGGTCGTTTGGGAGCACCCAAACACGTCTTAGAAAAGAGTCTGGTAAAGTCACAGCCATTGAAACCCCATGAAGCTCAGTTCTACTCTGACCCATCGGGGGGAGGGGGCAGGACTCAGAATGACTCCCTCCATGGCCACTTGTTTACTGGTTTAAGTAATCAAATCACAGTTTAACTTCAGTTTCCAAACACTGCATACAAACTGAATGGTGCGGGCCACACGTACAGCACATCACACTAAAGTCTATTCTTCATGGGAGGTTAATTTGGTCAGGGCCTCGTGCAGATACTCAGGGGTCTCCCAAACATGTTTATCCGATTCTCTGTTCACTTATACCTACTCGACTTTCCACTGCAGCCTGGAAAGAATGATGCCATCCTCCCTTCAGTCATTCCCAAGGAAAATAGGAAGCCGGGAACAAAGACCCACCACCATCGGACATGGAAAGGAGCGTGCAGCCCTGCTTACAAACTCTCTAAGAACAGAAAAACCATGTGTTTCAAATCCTTTTTGGCACCAAAACTGGTGTTATGTGCCATGGAGTTGATTCTGACTAATAGCGACCCTCGATGATCAAGTACAACCGTCATACAGGGTTTCCTCGGCTATAATCTTTATGGCAGTAGGTCTTTAGGTCTTTTCCCTCGTGGAGCCACTGGCGAGTTTGAACCACGACCTTTTAGTTGGCAGCTCAGGGCTAAAACCATTGTGCAACAAAGTTAGAAATTTCTAGAAATTAGAAGTCAGTTTCATTAGTTGGTTCTAGCTGCAGGTAGACAAATCAAGAAAATAAACTAGATCTGAAAAAGAATCCTTTTGGAAAACCCAGTTATATGAACTGTGAATTTCTAATTCTGGAAATCACAAGTAAAAACTCAACTTCAGTATTACGATACTCATTATGTCTCAGCATCGATTTAAAATTGCCAGGTAGCAATGATCTACGCAGACAATTGAACAATTATATGCAACCTCTATTAAGTCAATTTTTTTGTTGTTGCTTTAAAAAAAAAAAAAAGACTTATTTTGGTGTCCAAAAATAATTCTTTCTATTGAGATTTTATCACTGTGTTATACCTTTCTCAAATAGCTACTTTTGCAAAGATTAATGAAAAATCTGTGGGAGAAATAGCATTTGGCCTGCAAACCTTTAGATAAGTGGCAATTTTACCTCCTCTGTTGGTTTCTGAGGGCAGTGAAGGTGCCATCATATTTGTGTCCATCGGCTGTGAGCCATCCTGGGCCATGGGGTCTTCAGGAGGTAGGTAAGCAGGTGGGGGTGTATCAGCTATAAAGTTTAAAAAGAACATGATTCCTTAGTTTGTGATTCATATACGTGCATAATATTCTTTCTGTGCTGCAATTCTTGGGAGATAAATCTAGCTATGATTTCAACCTCCCTGTCCGAAGATTAAAAGCACCCTAGAGGGGTACTGAATTATGCATTGGGCTGCTGACCTCAAAGTCAGCAGTTCTTACTCAGCAGCCCCTCTGTGGGAAAGAGATGAAGCTGTCGGCTCCCATAAAGGTTCACAGCCTCAGAGACCCCATGTAGGGTAGCTATGAGTCGGACCTGACTCAGTAACAGAGAGGGCTTAAATTCTGAGTGAGGTAGAGGGTTATGTGCTGGGCTGTTAACCTCAATGTCAGCAGATCGTCTGTGAGACAAAGATGAAGCTGCCTGCTCCCACAGAGATTTAGTCTCAGAAACCTTAACCAGCTGATAAACTCTGCTCACAGGGTTGCTGCCAATTGAAATTGACTTGTTGATCCTGGGTTTAGGTCAGATGATTAAGAAGCCCTGGGGATGCAGTGTGGTTAAGTGTTCAGCTGCTAACCAAAAGATCTGAAGTTCAAAGCTAACAGCTGCTCCACAGGAGGACAATGAGGCAGTGGGCTTCCTTCGAGATTTACAGCCTGCGACAACAGGGCAGCTCTACTCTGTCTTATGTGGCCATTACGTGTTGGAATCCAGGCAACGGCAGTGAGTTTGGCTTTGGTTGGCAGGAGACTGGTTACTACAGATATTCGACTTAACTATTTCTGAAAATAACTACTCACCCAAAATCTTAGACTATTTTTTGTGAAAATTCAGTGGGAGGAAAAATACTGTATGCCGGTTTCAGAAGTTGTCTGCCTATCAAATTGTGTTTATTTGAAAACAATCAGGACTGCATATAAAAACAATTACATGCACAAATGTGCTTGACACAATGGATGGATATATGGATTGTGATAAGAGGTGTATGAGCCCCCAACAAAATGATTTAAAAAACCGAAAAAAAATTAAATGCATTCCACTTTAGAGAGCCTGTGAATTTTTCAGACTTCTTCAGAGAAGCAGCTTCAAGGCCACTTGCATTAAACTTTGGCTCTTAGGAATCTATCCAGAGTTTTAGTATTGTCTACCAATTCCTCTGTTCATTTTCCATGACCTCAAGCAACCTGTTTCAAATACCTTTCTTCTTATCTACTTTATCACTAGTTTTAGAACTCTTTGTAACAGAACAATAAGGAAATACACCAGTTTATCATAGACATCTTCTATTTCAGATTTTTCCTCCCTAAATAGCATATAGTCAAACTGGCAAATAACATTTAAGACCAAGGCTTCAGAACTCTTTACCTTAGGGAATCATGAGTAACTGCGGTAAGTACTCTAGACCAGAGGTCGGCAAAGTGTGGCTCTTTCGGTACAATGTGGCTCCTGAAGTACAATTGAAAATGAAACGAAAACTATCATAGTTTCATTTAATGTTACTTAAAATGTTCATTTGTAAAAACATATGTATGACTCTTGAATAACTTTTAAATTGTTGTGTGGGGCAGAATGAGCTCTTCTATCTTAAAAGTTTGCCGACCCCTGCACTAGACTGTGCAGAGTAACTGCTGGATGCACATAACTATGAGTGCTGCCTCTGTTTTCCTCTGTGATTTCCATGTCTGACTCTCAGCTGCATCATCACCCAGTAACTCCCACCATCCAGCTGCTAACAAAGGCCCTGCTAACAAGCGATGACTCAAAGCACTGACCCTGGACTCAAGGGGCCTGATCTGGATGCCTTTTTCACCCTTTCCCCAGCTGCTTTGAACTCAGCGTCTTCCCTGCAGCTGATTTACCTGCAGCCAGCAAGGAAGACAAAGCGTCTCCTCTGAGACCACATCGAATGGAGTTCTGCAAAACAGCTGGTGGAAGTGTCACATGCAATTGCATACGCAGCACTGCGAGGGGGTAGTGATTATGGGCACTATTCTACACTTCCCCTGAGAGGCTCCTCCTACTCCTCAACTTTCTCCTTTCCATACTTCCTCTACTTAGCCTCCACCTTAATTACTGACAGCTAGGAACATAAAGTCTGAATTCAAGTGATACAATTTTCCTTTCTGCGAGTCCCCACCCCCACCCCACTGTTGGGACCACCCTGATAGGTTCATCAGAACTAAACTTCTCACTACTAACTTACCCATCAGGTCTCCAGTAGGTCTGGGAGACAGTGGGGTAAGTAAAAAATATCTATAGGTAAGATGGTATTTTAAACTATTATCAGCCTCGTCCTAAAGAGTGCTGTATTGAAAATAAATAATACATTGCAAAATAAACAGGCTCAAAGCAAAAGGAAGCAGTCAATCAATCAATACATACGAGCAAGTAAGATCAAGCCCAGACCACTTGTCAAGTTCTCCAGACACATCAGCACTAGGGTTCAATTCAAATTTACTTAAAGCATTTCAAGTGGCCCAACAGATATGCTGACCCAATCTTTTTCCCTTGAAGTACTAACAGAGATGAAGCATCCATCTTTGTTCACAGTAACCTTCTTGAGGCGTCCTGGCAAGCAATTTGGCAATAATTTTTCCTTCCTTTCTGAGGTGCTTGCTTATTACTAACCTGTAACTTGAGAAATCTCATGTTCTAAATTAATCATTTATTTTGCTAAACACTGTACCATCAGTTAAATCTTTTCCAGAAAGAGGGACACTGTTTTTGTCTTTGCTAAATTAAACAAACAGATGGTTTCCAGTGCCCCTGTTACAACTCCTTTGATGTTGAAGTATACGCTTCTTGGGATTACGTCACCGGTTAAATGAATTTAAGTATGGGGAGTGTGATCCCTCAGGAAGTTAGTTTTCTGAGGTTGCACTCACAGCCTGTGTTCTTCTATGTATGAAAAGGATGCTCATTAAGGTGGTATATCTCAGAACCACAAAGGTGAGCAGCAGCATGCTACTTTTCTCCTCTTTTATCAAAAGCAAAAACTCTAACCATTATGTCACTCCCAAAAGGATGCAGCTGCTTCAAAGCCTTTAAAATCAAGGGAAAACAGCTTATTCAAGCAACTGTGCCTGACAAATAAAACATGATGTCTGCTTACTTGGCTACACAGTCTTCTTGGCTCAAATGACACATTGTGGGAGCACTAGAGCCCGGGTCACACACAGGAGCCACGAAGATCTCTACATTCCAGATGCCCCCACACCCCCAACTCCCAGAGCAGATCTAATCACAGCACTCTGCCCAACATTCCACCTACCTGGCATCTGAAAAGGGCTTCCGGGGTCTGAGCTGGTGGGAGAGTGGGGGTAGGTGCTATTGCTGCTCCCAGGAGAGTTTGGGTAACTGCTGTCGGGTGAGTGAGGAAACGGATGGCTGTTAGGCTGCTGGAAAGAATCTGGAAAAGTGGCATTGAGTGGCATGTGAGGCTCATTTTGTCCTATGTTTCGGAACTGAGCTAAGAGGCTGTGCTGAGGGTTATATTCGCTGTGTCTTGGAACCAGCACTGGAGGGAGAACTGGAAAAGAAGAAAGAAGAAAAAAAAGAGAGAAATGAGAATGATAAAAGTCTATAATTATGTACAATTAAAGTGAAACAATCTGTGACAACAATTTGTCTGCCTTACTGATAATTCAAAAGCAGCATTTTACCCTCTGTAGCAAATACTCTCTTTAGAATTATCAATGACATAGGCCTGTGATATGCCACTTTGATAAAGTGCCTCAGGAAAAGCTTACAAAACATGGTTTTTAGTTAAAAATATTAACATGCCCCCTGTTCTTAATTTTTTTCATTCGCTAAGAATAAAACTAAAGTTCATGATATAAATCACCCACTCATGATTCCAGCTTGCAGCTCTGGCCAATATGAGCTAATGATACAGAGTGGCTAGTCTAAGAAGAAATAAAAATGAGTGCTCCTTAGAAGTGAGGATGGAGCCATTGGTTTGCTTACTTTGGTCCGGGAAGACCAGTCACCAGAGAAGGACATGTTTGGTAAAGCAAAGGGTCAGCAACAAGGAAGGAAACCCTCCAGGAGAAGTGACGTCATTGCCACAAGAGCAGCTCAAACATATCAAAGATCATGATGCCGCTGCAGATCCCAGCAACGCTTCTTTCTGTGGTGATAAAGACTCCAACTTGACAGCAACTAATGACAGCATTTATTAAATGACATGAATTATTCACCAGAGTTAGTTAATTGTGCCTGCCTGGCCGATAATCACGTGGGGCTAATTGAAAGGCGGAGGGATAAATGGGTGGTGAGCCTCGCCTTTTTAATTCTCGGGTCTCTTGTTTTGTGATGGTCGCACCAGGGTGCAGCTGCCTTAGCAGCTCCCTGCTTCAGCTTGCAAGATGGACTTCATACAAGACATCCCCAAGGAGAAGCCACATGGACCTATCCCGATGCAGCCCTGGGTGCTGGAGCAGCCGTGTGGAGACCCCTGCTAGCGCTGAGATGCTTATTCGTTCACTGACTCAGCTTTCCTCCTGCAGTCGGCATCATTGCCTCTGTTTTGTGAGGTGGAAGACTTTGTGGACTGGTGTTGGGTAAATGGGTTAATGCTGGACTTGTGGGCTTGGGCAGCATTGGGTTGGGATGTTTTCGTGATGCACATTTTCTTTACATAAAACTCTCTCTTATACATGAGTTGCAGTGGACTTGTTTCTCATAAGTACCCAGACTAATACAACCACCATACGTTTTAAATGGACACATTAACACTTTAAAACAAAGGAAAGTGCAGTTAATAAAGCTGAGGAGGTAAATGCAGCAAGCAGTATAAAATTCAAATGCCAATGAAGACAGTTCATCAGACAAGCCAGGGTGTTCTGTAGGACATAATTTATGGTGTGCCCTAGTGGTCATGCTTTCTGAAAACCTTTTCTCTATGGATTGTAATGTTTATTACTTCTCACAACCTCCTGGACCAAGGACAAAACAGTCCTATGAGATCTCAGGCTTTCTTAGCAATCTGTTGAGCAAGGACACAAACACTCTCAAGGTGTTGCTAAAAACTCTCTAAGTTAGGAACCTAAGGAGTTAATGATTGGTATGGCATTGATCTCCAGAAAACCTGATGTTTTGAAACCTGACCAGATACAGAATACTTCCAGAAGGGAGCCCCACTCAGGGCACTAGTCTGAGCATCTCGCTGGGGTTACCAGAATGACCTTCCCAGTAACCCACGTCCTTGGAACATCACTCCTCTGGTGGCCCCCGCTTGGGAGAGAAAAAGCCATCCAGTGAACTGCATGAGGGTGAAGGAGGGTGGGGAGAGCGAGGAAGAGTTAAAGTCTGGTATTGTTTGTTGACAGTATGTTTTCCCAAATACATAATATTTAGTGGTACTCAGAATTAAGTAGAATTTTGAGAGGTTTCCAGGGAATCTATCCGTAATTTATATCATTTCTATAGGAAAATGTGTTCCTAACGCTTACTTAGATTATCACTTATCCATGAGGAGAGAACTGCTTTTCTTTCTGTAAAAATTTGTTTGGAGGACAGCAAAATTTTCTATATGCTCTTTCTTAAATTTATAATCCTCTATCAATAAGATCTGTTGATTTCCCTGCCAGTTGAACCCTTAGAAAGAAACCTTTTTAGTATAGTGTATTTTCTTTTTAGCACGTGATGGAATCTAGCCAAACCAACTCATCAAGGTGTAATTTCTCCAACTTTTCAATAGTCATCTGAGGTGCAATCTTACGCTATTTGTTCAAGAAAACAAGTCATAAAACATTCCCCCTCCTCTAATAAAACTCTACACTCCAAAATACACACATGCTATGAAATAAAATAATCGAAACCCCTTTAATTTCTTATATGATGATTTTTTTTTCTTTTAGCTGCTACTTTAGTTACCACTTCTACCACCCATTGTGAGGGAGAAAGATGAGGCTTTCTACTCCTGCAATAATGAGTTAGCCTCAGAAACTCACCAGGACAGTTCTACCCTGTCCTATAGGGTTGCTGTGAGTTGGCATTGACTTGATAGCTGTGAGTTTGGATTTTTGTTCTCAACGTTGGCCTTTAAGAGTCATCTAGATATAGCCTCAATTCGGATTCTTATCCTTTAAGGAAGACAAATGCCTGACCCTAAGCACTGTCCCACAAAAGCAGCAATTTGATCCAATCGATCTCCCACATCTCTTTTAAACCGTCTGCAGGATCCCCGCCCCCATATGCACAGATTCTATTACTAAAGCTCTTGGTTTTAACCGCTCCTACTCCTAATGCCCCAGCTTAAGAGTTGATAGCGCAGAAATGCCCCGTAAGGTGGGTTTCCAAGGCTGTCATCTTTATGGGAGAAGACTGCCACGTCTTTCTCCAGGGGCCCAGCTGGTGGCCTTGAATCACAGACCACTCAGTGCGCAGGTGAGCAGTTACCCACTGAGCTCACCAGCTCTCTTCCGCTAAAGACCACACCTGGCAAACGACCACAGGAAAGGAGAGGGAGCATGTTGCAATCAATCACACCAGATCAGTGATTCAACCGACCATGGGTCTGTAATGAGGCAGCAACCATGGTGGAAGCTATCCGTAAATGAAACTAATAAGTGGCTTTTACTAGGCAAACACAGTGTGTTCCATGTGTGGGACTCAACTGGACCTGATGGGCAGACACAGCACCTGTGAAAGGAATCCTAGGACTCTCACAACTGCGTGAGACCTTAGCTTTTTTTTTTGGGGGGGGGGAGGGGTTGGCTTCTTGTTTAATCACTTCATAGAAAAGTATGAGAGATGTATAAAAATGACTTTCTGCTTAAGCTTACACTTAAAGGAGAATTTTAAGAGCGCTGTTGCTAACTAAAGTCCCTCCCAGACACAGAGCCGTCTTTAAAAACGAAGTCCGACAGCAAAAGCTTAAACCACAGACAGCTACAATCTCACTACTGTTACAAACCAAGTAAGCCCTGTGAAAGGGCCACGGCTCACAGATATGCAAAACCTCTTTACTTACTAAAGAAACAATAAGACCACGTTTTCTGTAAGGAAACCACACTAAAGACGAGGTTAAGTCATAAAATCCTACCCAATACCGTCAACTTAAAAATTCGATCGTCAGAGGCAAGCTGCGTGCAGGGCACAGAAACATGCTAAATCTGAGGTGGTGGAGAGGGTAAGTAATCTCTTCAAGGTTAATGGTATACCGGTTGGTGCATCCTCATGATTTGTTATGGAACCCTTACACTGAAGAGTCTCAGAACCTTTCTCAGAGTATTTTAAATGGCAATATACTATAGCTAAATCCATGGGCCGTGGCACTTTACCTCTGCTTGCTTGCTTTACTGGTGGTGGAGTGATGACAGGGAAGAGGGTGTGAGATAATATTAATGAGCATCCATCGAATATTGCATATACATCCACTAGACACTGACCGCAAGGCAGGCACCAGGCCAGGCACTACAGACAAAGTAGTGGACAGGACATTGTCCCTGCCCATGTAGAGGTTACCAAACCTTCACAACAAGAATCTGCCTTACAGCTGAGGAGCCTCAGCACAGCTAGATAATGCATCCAACCTCACACAGCTGGTAGGCTGGAGGAATGGGATTTAAAGCAGGATTTAATTAAACGGAACTTGATTTATTTTGCTTCATCCAGCTTATGATAGACTCTTAGTGTTTTGGGGTTTTTTTTTCCTTTCAAATAATGTATGTTTTTGAATTGCATTATTATTCCTGAACTGTTTTTCATATATGTGCACTGATGTGGACCAGTTGTTCTCCAAGTGCAGTCCTCAGATTCCCTGTGTCTAAATAAGAGAGGTGTTTAAAAAAGCAGACTTTTGTACTTCCTCTTAGACATAATAAAGCAGGAACAAGGCCAGGAAATCTGTTTAAGAAAGTGCCCCAGGTAATTCTTCTGTGTCTGTAAGTTTGAAAACTACTGATGTAACATATAGAGATGCAAGGAGTCACCCAAAACCAGGCTACAAAGAGCAGCTTCAATTGTCCAGAAACCAGAGCCTAGGACTCTGAGTGAGTGCAGGCTCGGAGAAGGAAGCTATCAGAAACCAAGCCAGATCCATCGCCGTGGAGTGGATATTCCAACTCTGGACCAAGAAGTCCAGGTTTTCTGACCCTAGATTCTCTCCACCATGTTTCGATCTTGCTACTGGTCTACTTTATTAGTAACGTTTTCCTACTCTACTGTATGTCTTCTTACCAAGTGATTTAAACCCTTTATATAAACACACACATACAGATACATGTACGGGCAATCCCCAGGTTACAAACGTCCAATTTACAGACAACCACTTGCCCTTTAATCAGGACTTCAAACTGATCTGAACTGGTTATGCCATGGATGATGTGGCAAAACAGGAACAGATCTGAATTTTTAGTTTGAGTGATTCGCCAAGATAAACGGAGAAGGAAAATTCAGGTTGGAGCCCTAGAAATGGAAGACATGGAAAAGTTAGGATGAGCCCTTTCAAGAGCCTCTGTGTTAGACGGGATTGTTGGCAGGACCAAACAACCACACACACTTAAAAGCAGAATGACTGCCTGCCATCTTTGAGCAGGGCAGCTCTGTTTGGGCTCAGAATTATCAATCTAAACTTGTCTTCACTGTGAAATGATTGGACCAATCCCTACTCACAACGAACTCATCACAATCACCTTCCTTGATCTCCCCCCCTCCCCTATTTCTTCACATCACTGAAAATGCATCATGGCTTTTCTTGCACAGACCAAGACCAAAAGCACTGTCGTCAGGAGATCTGGACTCACTGCAACTCTCTAAGTCAGAGTAGAATAGGTCCTTCCGTTTCTGAGACTGTCAGTCTTTATGGGATCCTCATTTTTCTCCAGGGGAGCAGCTCATGGCTAGAACCATTGACCCCTGCAGTTCTCGGCCCAATGCTTATTCTCTGAGCCACCAGGGCTCCTTCATGGACTAAAATTAAAGCGAAGTAGAAGCAAAGGCTCCTGTTTCAACTGACCCACAGATTCTGAAAGACACAAGAATGGTTCTCATTTGTAACCCAGGGACCACCTGTGTATGCATATATGTACAAATACATGAAGGTCACTAAAAAGTTCTGCTACAAGAGTTTCAGTTCCTATGTGCACTGGCTGACTTTTCACGGAACATGACTTTTCAATTGAGGTAAACTGCAGATTCACATGCAGCTTGACATGACCGAACCCCCAGAGGGTAATATCTCGCACAACTTTAGTGCAACATCACAACACTGACCAGGGTACAATCAGGTTGCAGAGCATTTCCGTCACCACAGGGATCTTTTGTGTTGTGTTGCCAAGTCTCTTCTGCCCTCACTCCTTTCCGGACCTCTGGAACCCACCATTCTGCTCTCCATTTCTATAATTCCAAGACTTTCTTTTTAAGGTAAATTTTATTTCCCAATCCATGAATGACATAGTGACAGAGGCAGCCAGAGTGCCACAACTCACATTCAGACAACAGGTGAAGAGGATTTGGGGCACATTTTAATTTTACACAGCTGGCAGTCATTATGCTGACAATGAAAGCACCTGGAAATAGGCTCCACGTTGTTAAAGATCAAAATGGAACTCTCAAGAGTTTCAAGATCAGGTTTAATAGGGCCTTTCAAGTTGATTCAGTTCAAAGTGACGAAGATAATTTTCAAGAACCGTGTGAAAAACAAAATAAATAAATATGACCAGATGTCAGGAAGTCTCTATTCAGGCACTTTAATAGCAGCAGATAGCAGCTGGATGGTCGTTTCAGTACCACAGTTAGATGACTTGCAGCACCACTGTCAGCATTTGTTCTTATAAAGAAATAAGAGCCGACATTTAATTCAGCCACTAATAAGTAGCCTTGGCTATGAAGACCAATGAAAGTCCAAGCAAACAGTCCACCTGTTACATCATCAGCAGGGTCATAGTCTGCAGTAGCTACATGAACTTTGTCTCTCTTGCCTGTAACTGTCTAGACATTTGCATTAAAAGAAATTACAGACAGCATTTCCTCCTTTCCCAAGATGCACTTCTCAGGAATGGTCAAGGTAGCACCTTTCCATATACAGGGAAGCTCCTTCACTCACACATACACCGTACTGTTGGGTAACTATAAAGGATATAAGTTGCTGCGATGTGTTCCTATAACTTTGGGGTTTTCTCGACGGATATTGTTAGACATCGTAGCACAATAAATGGCATAGGGTAAGGGGAAAATTACAATTCTTAGACCCAGAAAAAGTATTTGTTATCAAAGAAACACAAAAAGGTGGTAAACAAGGAATTGCAAAACTTGCAGTAGACCAAATAACCAAGCATTCCTTTCTCCCTGCTGCGTTCCCATTCCCTTAAAGGCCTTATCACATTTTATGGGAGTACTGATCTGACTGAACACCAGCAGAAACAGAAATTCCAGGATGCACAGGTTGAGGCAAATCAGAAGATGTTAAAATACGCCCTTTACTCTTATTCTCTCAAAAGGGTCATTAATGTGAAAACGAGAAGTATTTTATAAAGTAACAGTATCCATTGATTCTATAGAAGAAATTGATTCCTGCATATCCTCCACAAGGCTTATGTCATAGTAAATTCTTCTGGAGATGGGAAAGGATGCTACTTTTCAGGATAAAGTGGGATAAGTCATTGACAGCTGTCCTCACAATGTACCCCCTGCTTCTTCATATCCCTCTACCCTTTCATTGCCAACTGCTGTCTGTAGAGTGGAAACAATCTCTTAAAAGTTGCGTTGTAATCATAATGCTCATAGCTTTGCTCCCAGGAAATGACACTAAGTTGAACAGATTAGCTGTTACCATGTGTAAAAATAGAAGGGGACCTGACAAGCACAAGTAGAACTCCTAATGTTTTAAAAAGGAGCCCTGGTGGTTTAGTGGGTGGGCTACCCAATGAACTTCTCACCTCAAGGTCAGCAGTTCGAACCCATTAGTCACTCTGTGGGAGAGATGAGGATTTCTACTCCTATAAAGATTTAAAATCCCAGAAACCAAAAGCGGTCACTCTACTCTGTCTTGTGGGGCTGCTATGACTCAGAATCAACTCGATGGCAGTGTGTTTGTGCATGCATGTGTCCGTGTGTGTGTTAGTTTTTGCAACTCAAATCCCAGAAAGGGGATTATGTAGTATTTTTAAACACAGGAATCTGGCACACACACACCATCTGCTATACAAGAGTCACTTACCAGGGCTTTCCACTCGCTTATAGTGGTAGGGGTTGATGCAGACTTCCTTCTGCTTGGAACCAAAAGGAAACTCACAGCATTCCAGTGGCTTCAGTTCGTGGTGGCTCTGAAGGTCGGGCCAGCGCCACACTCGGCAGTATATGACATGGGGCAGTCCCTTCCGGTGAGACACCTGCAGCCTGCCATCCAGAGAGCGTGGGATGGTGACACAGTTACTTGGTTGTCCTGGGCAGCTCAAGGCCTTTTCCAGTTCCTCCATGGCACCTTTCTTTTTCTTCAGTTTCTTCACCAAAGCATCCACAGCTTTCTCGGCCCATTTTTCTTCTTCATCGCCCTGTTTCCACCCCAGGAGCCTCTTCACAGCAGGACTTGTGAAGGAAAACAAACTGGTCACGTTCATGGCTGCTCCTTTTGTATACTCCTCAGAGGTGCGAAACAAAGGCGCCCCCAGGCAAAAAAACACAAAACAAAACAGAAGAGGCTTCACTCTAGTTGGGTATTTTTTGTGAGTTTAGAGGTCCTGAAAAGTGGAAATTTCCAATCCAAATGTCTCAAAGTAACCCAGAGACAGAACCTGGAAAAGAAAAAAATGGTAAAAATAAGAAAAATCATCTCTACCACACACCTCCATTTATTAAGCAATTACTATGTACCAGGCGTTATTTTAAGTGCTTTTTCGTATCCTAGGCAAATCTGTTGCAAAAGACCTCTTTAAAGTGGACAAGAGCAAGGACTTCACTTGAGGACAAATGTGTACCCAATTCAAGCCATGGAGTTTTCAATTGCCTCATATACATGTGAAAGTTTGACACTGAATGAAACAGACTGAGGAAGACTCGATGCATTTGAACTACAGTGGTGGTGAAGAATATTGAAAATCCCGTGGACTTCCAGGGAAACCAGCAGCTCTGTCTTGGAAGAAGTTCAGTCAGAGTGCTCCTGGAAGAGAACACCATGCTTGGTAACATAGGGCAGTGACAGAGAAGACCTTCGCCAAAATGGATTGACACAGTGCCCTCGCGACAGGGTCCTAAATAACAATTGTCAACACAGCACAAGCGCAGGTAGTGTTTGTTCTGTTGTTCATAGTCGCTGTGGGTTTACAATTGACTGGACAGCACCTAACAATAGTCACAATTCAGTAAGGAAATATATTTGTGCTTGTGTGCTCATATGTCATTTTTTTCTACTCTAAATGGCTTCCATATAGTTTATACAATGATTTTCACGAATAGGGGTTAGCATATATAACAACCACTTGTGCTGTTTTAGCTCTACCACTGAAGTTTGCTAAATAAGGCGTGCATGTGAGGGTGGGGAAAAGATCCACCATCCCAGACCTCTGTGTTTACGTTTACAACTGACATTCACCCAACAAAGCTGTGCTGAGTGCCCACAAAGAACCTGGCGCACTGCTAGACACAGGATACAGAATCGGCATGCTGGTAGAAGAACAAATAACTGACTTGAATTAAGCAAATTGGCTTCTCTGCTTGCAGACTCAGGTAGATTGTGTTGAAAAGTTTTCCTGCACCATCTCTAGGAGAAGAAATGCTATGGCTGTACCAATGTTGACCATGAGCCTCTAGAGCAGTGATTCTCAACCTTCCTAATGCCGCAACCCTTTAATACAGTTCCTCATGTTGTGGTGACCCTCAACCACAAAATTATTTTTGTTGCTACTTCATAACTGTAATTTTGCTACTCTTATGAATCTGGCAACCCCTGTGAAAAGGTTGTTCAATCTCCAAAGGGGTTGCGACCCACACGTTGAGAATCACTGCTCTAGAGGAATAAGAGATTTAGGCACTAAGTATTTGCTCACAATTAACTGGGATATAAGCCATCAGTGGGTATAAGCAATAGGATATAGAAGCAGAAAATAAAGCAAATCAATTCTAGGGGTTTTGAAGTTTTCCCAGAACCTCAAAGGATGCGCAGTCTTTTGTGAAATAGTAAAGCTAATATTTTTAGGGTCCACTGCATGATAAGCACTGTTCTAAGCACCTCTGGAATCCTCCTGGATTAGAGGAAGTCCATTTGATAACAACTATACAGATAAGGACAATTAGTAAGAAAGGTTATATAACCTGTCCAAGGTTACATACCCAGCTAAAGTGGCAAAGCTAGGATTTGAATCCAGGCTGTCTGGCTCTAGATCCTGTACTTCTTTTTACTTTGTTAAGTGGCTAGTTCTAATACACATACAGCAGTGTGGTAGTTACATAATCTGTTGTCAATTTGAGACTTAAGAGTGAAGGTGTGGAGTTTAACTATCAATCAGGTTGCAGCTTGATGACCTTATTTGGAGGTGCTAAAGATAAACAGGTCTTTGGAGGAAGGGCATACACTCACTCACTGCAAGACATTCCTGTTGAGAAGACACAAGGAGCTATGCTAGAGACCTAGAGCTGAAGGAGCCACGTGGGGACCCCTGCCAGCACTGAGATGCTTACAATGCCACTGGATCCACAAGACATTCCACTCATTGGTCTGTGATCTTCCTGCATTTGGCGTCACTGCACGTGTTGCGTAAGTCTGAAGAGGAATTTATAGATTAGTATCGAACATCTGGGATAATATCAGACTTATAGACTTGATTTGGACTGGGCTGGGGCATTTTCTCAATATTCAATTGCTCTTATATATAAAGTTCTTTTTTATACATAATATAAGTCTCCCTGGATTTGTTTCTCTAGTCTACCAAGACCAACACAAGTAGGGATGCTAGGATTCAATCTGGGTGGAGACAATGCTGTTAATTATTGTCTAGTCAATTCCCAGTCATAGCTAGTACACTTGTGCAGAGTAGAAGTACTCTGCAGAGTTTTCAAGGCCATGACCTTTTGTAAACTGATTGTCTGACTGGTCTCGAGGGGCCTCAGGGTAGGATCCAACTGCCAATACAAGGCTGAGACGAAGGGCAGGGCAAGGCTGTGCAGGGCTAATGATGCATCCTACCATGGATAGCTGGAAGTCTTAAATCAGAGCATCTACGTGATCAAATCTGTGTTTCAAAAAGACAACAACAGTAATGCTCTCAATAAAACACAGGAAGAAGTCTCCTTACAGGAAGCAAAAACAACTACTGGTTCTAAACACCACAGGGGTCAGCGGGGTGGTGGACGGTGTCTTCATGTCCTTCTGGAAACTAAAGCAGCAAGATCACAAACCCAGGACCATGCACACAGATAAAATAAAATGCCAGCCCGCAACTGCATTATACCTACCACCTTTGCAAATACAAGTCAAACAAGTAGCCTATCTCACATCAGGAGCACAAACAAGCCCATGATACCATGGCCTTGGCAAGACAACCATTTTTTTCCTGCCCCTTTTTTGTACTTCCTGCCTTAGTTTATGTCCAAAGTTAAGTGCCCTTTATCAGTTTAAAGTGCAAAATAAAAACATGAGTCAGCAAACAGAGATTTCCTTCCCTCGACTCCAAATACTAACATTTCACACTAACAAAAGGGGCGGGGGGAACGTTTTCTCATCTAGAAATTTACTCTAATGAAATATCCTGAACTAAAAAGTGAGAAAAGATTATGCACAAAACTTTTCGTTAGAGCATTATTTAACCATAAAAAAATGTGGAAGTAATCTGTTATCACTCAGGAAGTACTATTGAGAGCTTATAAACCATATTCATAGACTATGTAATAACCTGGTAAAAAATCTTAACAGAACAAAATTGTATATATAACATGAATAACAGTACAGAAAATACATCAAAGTATTACTGGCTGGGCTGGGAAGGTTGATACGGTATCTCCTCTTACTTTAAAATATTATTTAATGAAAAACTACTAACCTTAATTAAATATTTTTTAAAGTCTCTATCTGTGGTAGAATCCTTACCACCCATGCAAGAGAACCCCTGCCATTCAATTCATGAACAATGTGTCTCATGTGTACCCACCGTCTTTCTGCCAGTGAAGCCTTGCCTGTTGATATGATGCTGATAGGCTTCAGGGGAACTTCCAGACCAAGACAAATTAGAAGAAAGGTCTGATGATCTAGGTCAGAAAAACCAGTCAATGAGAATCCGTGGCTCACAATGGATGACAGGGAAGGTGCAGGATTGGCAGTGGTGCAGTCCTTTGTGCATGGAGTCATCATCATGCAGCTAACAACATGTGGATATTTGCTGTTAAAATTACTAATGTCGCATCAACTCACGAACAAAAATCATAGAGAAACTAACTCTACATTAATGTCAGGATGGTCTTAGAGTGTGATCTATTTTTGGAAGTATTAAAAATGTAGTTTCAGAATTCCAAATTGAGACCATTTCCACAGATTCTCATCCACAGGAAATATTTTTATTAGAGCTATTGTTATTGTCATTAAACAAACGAAAACTCGTTGTCACAGTCAATTCTGACTCAGCAACTCCACGGAGCAGGTTACGGGACAGGGCAGAACCGCCCTGTGGGTTCTCAGACTGTGACTTTTGATGGAGCAGAGAGCCTCAGCTGTCTCCGGAGGCTCAGTTGGTGGTTGATTCTGAAGTGCTGACAAAGTGTAACCATTATGCCACCAGGTGCCATTAAGTTGATTCAAGTCTGTTCTGATACATAGGATTCTATGTACACAATGAAATAGTGCCTAGTTTTGCACGTCTTCACAGTTGCAGCTATTGTATCTATCTGTCTTGTTCAGTTCTTCCTCTTTTGCTGCCCTTCTACTTTACCAAGCATGATAACCTTTCCCAGGGACCAATTTCTTCTGACAATATGTCCATAATACTAAGACTATGTCTCACCATCCTTGATTCTAAGGGGCATTCTGACTATACTTCCTTCGAGACCGATTTGTTTGTCCTTCTGGCAGTGTGCGGTACTCTCAATATTCCTTGCCCTCATCTACTGTAGAACCATGTAATTATCCAACCATGTGAATATACTATGATGGTCACTATCTTACAGACTCTAGATTCCCCCAGGAACTTTTAAAATAATGATATCTGAAGATACAACTAAAAAAGGGGGAGTGAGGGGGTGGTCATGTTGAATGCCACAAATCAAGTACCTATAATGAAAAAGTGAGGGAGGGAAACAACAGCCAAGGCCTTCTACACCAGTTTCAGACGAGGCAGTTTTCTGGTTCTTTCTCACTGCCATCAAACTCAGTGGACTAGATAAAATACATAATTCCATTAAATACTGAAGGAATAATTATTCAATAAAATAAACATACAACCTGAAGAGGGTAGAAAAAAAGACTCAGTACCTTAAAAAACAAACAAAAACTGATGTGAGATAGCCTATTTATGAACGAACCAAACAACCCAATTTCCCCAGTTCTTGTTCCTATGCGCATTACTCTGAATTAACTCCAACAGTACCAAATCAAGGCATAAAAATACAAAGAATTAAGAAACAAAGCATAAGTATTGATTAACTTCATTTTCAAACTGTTTAACAGCTGGTTAAGTTATTCAAGATAAAAAAGGCACCTTCACAAAAATTACCTTTCTAAAAGTTTGATCATTTTGTGGAAACAAGTATTTCTGAACAAATAAATTAACTTTGTAGATATTTCCTGATTTACACTACCCACCAGCTTC